TACTTAACAAATGGAAGTAATTTGTATTGAGATAAAATATAAAATATTTTATTTTAATTAAATTTAAATTCTTTAAAATGTTGAAGATAAATATTAATTCCTTATTAATGATTGATTGTTTAAGTAGAAATATGCCCAATTTATAGATTATCTAACGTTTGTCATAAAAAAAAAAATGTTTCGCATAAAAACCAGTTTGTTAAGCTCTTGGCTAGAGAACAAATCAAGATTATTTGTAACATGTAATGTATTAATCGTCATATCATACTAAATAACCCTAAAATATTTTAAACATTTTTACAACAATAGGCACAGTTTGACCGTTTTACTTTTCATTACACGAAAAAAAAATGTACCTTGAATAAATTATAAAATGAATTGAATATTTAAAATTATGAACAAATTTTACATCACCAAATGAAAACATATAAATACAGCACTAACACGTTTCTGAACTCGTCACAATTTTTTTGTCCACATCCATGTATTTCATTCGTATAATTAATCATACAATTTTGGAAATACTCTTGATTAACGCGATTACTGCAATTACTAAACGTATTATTTGTATTCCATAAATTGGCGACGAATTTCCGAGGAGAATGTTTGATTCGATAGAGGCAATTTCTAACAATAGAATTGTTCAATATTATTGAAAACAAGTTGAGATTTAGATAGTCTTATCGTTGCTGCGTCTCATTGATTTTCGTTAATTAATTTTAGCACATTATAGACGAGCAAATCCTTTTAAACGACCAATTTTAACGAATTTTTACGCGTCGTAAATCATAACTTATCGCGAATACGAAATCATTGTTATTAGTTACTGCAATTGTACGATGAAAATTGTTGTAAGCCCAATTAATCAATACAAGTCCAAGTTATGTACAATTGTAGCTAAAAAAATGTCTAATCCGAAGATACCCTCTATCTACGATGGAAGAAAACAAGTCTCACTATTGGGGGGGATCGGACTTTCGAATTCTTAAACCCTCTGCCCGAGTAATAAATTATCAATAGCGATAGTCCATATTTGCCATTTATTCGCTCATTTAAGCCGGATAACCCATGGCTTCAATCGCGTTCGAATGATTTTTCCAACACAAATGTCCCACAACGTCTTTCCATTTTCTCTCAATGACTTTGGAATTGCAAATTAAAAAGTCGATGGCAAGCAGTTTTACTCGAACTTGTAATTATCTTTTTTTTTTTTTTTTTTTTTTTTTTTTTTTTTTTTTTTTATATATATATAAATGCCGTGGACACGAGCTTAGGGATATTCGACTTCCACTTGCCAATGCACGTCCATCTGATTAACATTTTTAAATGGAATGAACTTGGCAATGTAATCGCCGGAGAGGCGCGTCGGCCAATGGTGGCCACATAATAATAATGACGTCATTGGGGAGGCGTGGCCTAGGTGGTGGCCGGGAAGCGTTCGTCTGGCGTTCTTTTGTTTCGGCAGCGGCTAGCCGCCGCACGCCTATATAGTGCAATTTGTAAAGGGTAATGGCCTCGGGAACAATAGAAATAGCGTGACTGGATCCTAGAACGTAGAATTCGGCGGCTGGGCACGGGTGCATGAACAGCAGGTGGATACTACAGACGATACTCGGTGCCCAGGACGCGTCGTATTGCCCCTCGTCGCTCTTTCACATGCTCATCGGGAAACCGGACTCGCGTGTGCGTGGGCGGCTCAGCGTAAGGGGAAGACACGAGGACGACGTCGGCGGTGGCGGTGGCGGTGTCGGTGTCGGTGTCGGTGTCGGTGTCGGTGTCGGTGTCGGTGTCAGCGGCGGCGGCGGCTGCGGCGGACGCCTCGGTACATTGACCAACCGACGAATAGTGACGATGGCAAGCTCGATGCAATTTACCGCTCATCACCAGTTTGTCATCCGGCGAGGATCGCCGATGTATACGCCATTGCTCTCTTAATTCCCCATAGGTGTTATAGCTGTACATCCGGCCGGCGGAGGATGCTGCTTGGATCTTCAAGGATGCCCACGAGTGCCAATAGCGGTGATTCGTGATCGGCTATAAGTCCCCTACTGCCACCTAATCTAATCCCCCCCCCCTCCCGCCCCATCCCACACCTCAACCCCACCCCGCGCCCCT